ACTCCAGCTGGGTCTCGGGAGGAAATGTACCCAGGCCATTCCCGCCACACCCCCTGCAAAGCAAGTTTCAGGGGCAAAGCACAGAATCTTCTCCTTTCTCTCCTGTTGGGGTCTCACTGTTGTCAGAGTCAGACGTTCAGGAGAGCAAAGTCTTTGGATATCACACCTTAGATCTGCACAAGGCTCAAAGGGCTCATGTCCCTCGGAGCTGTGCGACCTCCCACAGAGAACCCCGAGGCTCAGAGAGGCTGACTGGCCCGAGGTCTCATAGCTGACAGGGCCCAGACTGCAGTCCAGGTTTTCTGGCCCCCGTTCCAGTGTTCTTTCCATGTGATACTGCCTTTGCGTGACTTTCATCTAAGTCCTACTTCAGCCTTGGAGGGCTGGGATGGGCAGAAAAGATATTCCTCTCTGTTGAGCTGGAAAGTTAAATAACAAATTCACAGAGGAAAATTGGCCCTGGAAGGCACGTCTTCTTGTCTGCCAGAATCTGTGTTTTAGATTAAAACCTACCTGGACTTGGAGGTGGGAGGGGCTCCAAGAGAGGAGCAGCATGGTGTTGGGTGGGGGAACGAGGGCCAGGGAAAACCAGAAACTGCCTTCAGGGCACCCGCTCACTTTGGAACAGGAAGTTACAACTTCCTGTGCCTCAGTTTCCTCTTCTCAAAGTCTTGGAGGGATGGAGTAAAGGGGAGGTATTGTTTACTGGCTACAGTTTCAGTTTGGGATGATGAAACAGCTCTGGAATGAATAATGGTGACGGCTGCACAACACTGTGAAAGTATTTAATGCCACTTAAAAAAGGTAAAAATGGTGAATTTTATGTCGTGTATATTTTATCACCATAAAGAGTAAATAAATGAAGGGGATAGGGTTAACTAAAGTGTTCCGAGTTTCCATCAACTCTGAGAGTCTATGAGTCTTACCCTAATTGGAAATTTCCTTCCAAATTAGCTTCACCTTTCCAAGTGCCTTCTCTCCCACAGGATCCCAAGCCGGTTCTTACACAGAGAGCACCCCGACCTCCACCCGGAGCTAAATACCTGGGAGCTGGCATCATGACCGCACGCAGCCTGTGCCGTGGGGGAGGCTGGCCCTGCGTCAAATGGCTGGGGCAGAGATGCAGTCTTTTTGGAATCATGACAACCTCTTACTCTGATGGATTGACCATCTCTGCTAAAAGTGGTATTGGGCATTAACAAAACAATTAAGATGCGTTTAATTAATTGGACTTGACATAAAAGCCGGGCTGAAGACCGAGGCCCAGGACTGGGAGGTTGGGTCAGGCCTTCCCACTCCTGTGCCTGCTGCGGACAAGTGGCAGTGCTGGGGTTGGAGGGTAGATGCCAAAACCCAAGCACCGACAGTCATCGACAGACCACGTTTCAGACGTGGCATGGATGTGGGAACCTTCCTAGACTGGGTCCTGGGAGAAATCCAGTACAGCTCAGAAGAAATCCATGCTTCTCAGAGATGGGTGTGAGCTAAGAGGGGGGGATTCTGAGCCTTGAGCCTCCAGCCCTGGCTCCAGCCTGGGCGGGGCAGGATGAGAAGCTGGCAGGTGGGCATATGGCATCCAGCCCACCATCACGCCTGCCCACCTTGTCAATAAAAGGCAATCAGCGGTCTAAGCTCTACTGGAAAAAATGAATTAATATTCACTCGTTCCCAAGAAAGACTAATGTTTCATTTCCAGCCTGATTTGACTCTTCTTCCACATAGAGACATTTCTCTCATATAGAATATCCCCCTCCACTGCCACCCCCAAAGTGTAATCAGTGCAGGGTAAACAAGAAGGCTGAACTGTGCACAGATCCGTGTCATTTTTAGAACGGTCCCCTCTGAGGTGTGCCCACGGATCAGCAGGAGGGAAGGGGGTTGTGGCCACGAGGGGATCGCAGAGACCCAGAGCCAGTCCTGCAGTAGCTGGTGGTGTGGCCTGTGGTGCTGGGAGTGGGAGGTGGGTCTGTACTTGAGAACATTCACGAGCATGTCTCTACAGGGGAAGAAAAAGGATGTACACATTAGAGCAGAATTGCCTCCCTTCATATAACTGGGTATTCTCGGAACGCTTTGTAAATCAGATTCCTAGGGTTCAAGGTGCTTTATTTTCCTCTTAATTAGCTTTCAAGGATGTGCCTATATATCTCCCTAAAACAGTATGTTGGGACATATGCCAGCCCTGAGGGGAGCAAGCAGCTGGTGTGTAAGCAAAGACCCCAGGAAACTGCTCCTTAAAGGAACCCTTCAACCCACCAACTGAGAGTCAGAATGCTTTGGAAGTGATCTTCATGCAGAGGCAGGAGATAAGAGCCTACACATGGCTAGGCTTGGAATCAACGTGCTGGCGTCAGGTCAAGGGTGGGCAGTCAGCAAGGCAGGACTTAGCATTCGGAGATCTAACATTGAGCAGCGCACAGGGTATGTGGCAGGGGTGTCAGCTGGGGGACCAGGCCCAGGGGATCTTAGCACAGGCCACAGGAGTTGCAGTTCAGCTCAGCAGGGCACAGGGACATGCTCCCAATGAGACAACACCTATTGCAGTCATCAGGTTCAAAAGACAAGAGTGAGGTTGGGGGCCAAGCTAGGCCTGGTAATGATGCCCAAAGCTATCAGTTTAGCAGCAAGAGTCCTTTATGAGGTGGCCAGCCCACCTATTTCTCAAACCGGGTCTCTAAGGTTTAGCTCTTTTCAGTAGGCACCCCCGACCATTTTCTTCTACAATGGACATTGCAATAAACAGCTACCTACTTACCCCTTGAGAAAATTCTCAGTTCATATTGAATAGGCTGACTTTCTATATCTTATTTGTTATCTGTGTCTGAAAATACTAGTAGAGCCAAGATGCCTGCTTCCCCTCAGCTCCTGCTTATGTGCTCAGAGTTAATTTCAACACGGCAACACAGTTCAGAAGAGCTTGCTGAGCCCTGCAAGGATCCACATGGAACACACAAGGGCTGCAGGCACACCTGCTACAGAAACCTCGGGTTAACCAGAATATCTGCAGCTTCCAACCACATGCCCCTCAAGAGTTCCAGTTCTGCCTCAACTTACTATATTTGAAAACTTTCCAGACATGCATCGACACAGTTTTTGGCTTTCTTCTGTTCAGCACTGACATCCTAACACCTTTCCTTATGCACCAACAGCACCTCCCTGGGACCCATCTCACACAGCTCGTGCAAATAAGAACCCTAGAATAAGAACCCTAGAAACGTGTGCAATTCGCAAAGCAGGGCTAAGACACGTGCGCATGCCAGCTTTTGCTTATCTAAATGTTGAATGGAGCATCCGAGTACATCAGTTAACCTTCTCAGTGTATGTTGCTCATCTGGTCCCACATCTCCCTGTGCCCAATTCTTCCTTTGAAGAGCAGAGTGGGAAAGTCATTCTTCTCCCCCTAGTCCACCAGAGCTGAAAAACGTCCCCAATTGCCTTGTGGAACACGGATACCTGGCTTTCCCTCTCCCTCCATACATTTGCAGATGACATTTTCACTACATGCCAGCAATACTGAGGTCTGGAGATACAGGTGCCATGAGGCATCAGCAGGCCGACAGATGTGGGCTTCCCAGGAGCTGGTGCCTATCCTACGAAATGCAAGGAAAGCAGAGCCAGAAGTTTCCCCCGCCTTCCCCATTCTCTAAGATACATTTAGGCTATGAGCGCCATATCCACCTCTTCCCACAGGGGAGCCCTGCACTGGCCCACACCTGCCGGATTTCGCTCATGGCAACACCCACAGCCATCGGGGACTATTTTATCCTGGCAGAACTCCCACTTTCAACCACTGGTCTCTGGCCTGGTTCAACTCAACTGGTGCCTTCCACCGCTGACTCACGCCTCCCGGAGCCACATGGCCTTCCCTGGGTTTTGTGGTGGTTGTCATAATATGGTGGTGGCTTTCTTTGGGATTAGGTCAAATTAGAATAGGAATAATAAAGGTGCATCTAGTTAAGTGAAAAGCGTAGGGCTATAAAAAGGAAAAGGTTTTAAGAAAATATTCTGTATTTTGTGCGCAGAAGAAATCTCTAAACTTTTATCCATTATCGGGGATGTGGGTACAGATTTGGAGAAAGGCATTACAGTTTACTCTGAAGGGCAAAATGGCAGGGAAAGCCAAGTTTGCTCCAGTTCTCTAGGTGTTGTTAAATTTATGATGCTTGTCACTCAGTGGCAAGCCATGTGAGAGTCCTATGTCTATTACCCCAAAGAGTTCCTGGCCTAGGAGGACCTGGAAGTTGACTGGAGGTTCTTGTTGGTGGAGGTACTGGTTTCACTTCCACATCTTTGTAACCCTGGAGTATGAGAAAGGCCCCCGGGCAAGATTTCAGCCTTCTTGTCTCTAGAGAGGCCTCTGCTAGGCCTACAGGAGGGAGGTGATCCCCAGGGCTCTTTTCCTCTGTGGCAGGAAGAGCCACTGCCCGGGAGCCCTGGGGGCCGGAGAAGGGGGGGTTCTGGAGTTGTTGCGGTCACTCCTCATTTGCTATTGGCTAGGGGCCAGGTCATCCCCCCAAACCATACCTACTCCATGATTTTACTGGAGGCTTCAGGGAGGAGTAAGTCCCAGAAGAAAAAGAACATACAGGGGAAAGAAAAAAAGAGGGGAAAGGGAGGAAGGAGAAACTAAAACAAATGAGTTCTTATCTTTAGCTGGGAACCAACCACTCTTTATAATGCTATTTTCCATGAAAAAAATGTTTTCTAAGTTTCCAGTTACGAAGTTGGCTATTTTCTACACAAAGCCAAATCTGCCAAAGAAGAAAATACTAAGCAAGCATTCAAGAGAACCAGAAGTTTTAAAAAATGCACCTAGGAAAAGTTACCTATCAGAATCCAACTGAATTAAGGTTTGTTTTGTTTTCTGTAAGTTGGACGGGACACCGAGAGATGCCCATGTATCCTGGACTGGCTGGTCACTTTTAGCAAGGCCACTGTTACAGAACACATCGAAAAAAGACAATCATTGCAGGAAAGAGGACAACAATAGCTGCTTCTACCTCCATGCTAGTATTAGGGTCAAGGTCATCACACTCTGACTCCTCGGAACTGTTCGTCTCCTTGATGGGCAGCATGAGGGAGGGGGAAGAAAGAGAACACAGTTAGAACACAGGCAGCTTTGGCTAGAGGGTGGGGAGAACTTGAAAGAAGCATGGACCATGGGAAATCAGGCAGAGAAAAACCAGGTGCTGCTAAGGTGGGGTGCAGATCACCTAGGACGGCAGCATGCTCTTTTCAGGGAGAGGAGGTTGGGATCGTGTAAGCCGCTCATCTCACGGGAAATAGCGATGGAAGCAACCAAATGAAGCATGAGTGCTGTCGAATTTAAACTGTTGTCTCCTGTGGGGCCGGACTTCCCAGATGAGGGTGAGGGAGAGAGTACAATTTCTTTTCCCCAAGAAGGACGTTAGAATGGGTTTGGATTGTTCTTATTTTGCTCAGGAAGACTCGGGTAGATAATCACACAGTATAACAATATTCAACATCAGCGGTTTAATTTCCATTGTCCAGAGCCATGTCTTTTCTGAGCGCCCAATGTAAAGAAAACAGATCACATCGTTTCAAGATGGCGGACAGGGGTCTGTCAAAGCTTAGACTCAGCGAGTTCACTATAACAACTGGATTGTTACAAAGCAATAACGTGGGCTTCATCAATGTGCCTCCCTTCTCTGCCCATGCATAGGCCTGAAGGTGATGGCATCTGAATTCTGGGGAAAAGAAATGAAACTTCACCAAGGACACAGTAGCCCTTAAGTTCCAAACCTCAGACTTCAAAGGGTTGGAGGTTTGGAAAGCATCTCTAATCTCTTTACCCGGCATGTATTTTCAAACCTAGGATACTGAATGGGTGGCTTTGAGTACTTTAATATGAGTCAAGCATCTTGCATTTCTAAGAGAATAAATAATACTGCAGATAATTTTACTATAAAACTTCTGCACAGTATGAGGAGGAAGGTATAAAAGAAAAAAAAAGAGATACTTACTTATTTGAATCGAAGTTGCCAGGAGAAATAAAAAATAAAAAATAAATTGATCTCGCATGCAAAATCCTACTAAACTACTTCCCCTCTGGTCCCCATCCACCCAAGTTGCCTCGTGAGAATGCTGCAGGGTGGGAGTAGATGAGAGGTCGGACACAGCTCCGGAACACCTTACTCACTTTAACAGAGACTTTGTTGCCCAGAATATCCTTGGGTTTACGAGGCCCTGTGGCTTCACTTTTACCCGTGTTCTCCACTTCCACCCGCTTTCTCATGCGTAGAGTATGCCATGAACATGACTTCCTGTTGTACCAAAAAATGCACCAATCAAAATGGCAGGTCAGGGCAGAGTGAAGCGGTGGGTGGGCTTGCCACCCTTGGGTGAGTCAGTAGGTGAGGCGCTCCAGTCAAGCCCCTGCTTCAGAGGCCCCAAACCTGCACACCAGCTCCTGTGGTGGCTGGCAGCAGATCTCACCTCCAACAGGAAATGAGTGAGGATGAACTGTGACCCCTCCCAATAGATGTACAAGGTTGGTTGTAGCATTTGAGACAAGTCTGGGTACTAAGTGATTAAACTCTACCGAGGGAAGTTTTCATATACTGATGAGGCCTTATAGGACTCAGGAATTCCCTTCCTGAGTATGGGTATGATGGATGGGAGAAGACTGTGGGGAGGGGGCAATAAACTAGGAAAGATGAGGGAAGTACGTTCTATAGTGTATAAGCTATTGGTACTTTCCCAGGATCAGATATAAAGACCCAAAAGGATGCTTTTGAGGTTTTCATCTCATTATTTGTGTTTAGGCTGTGGCCACTCCCAAACACCGTAGTACAGATGGGAGGTTCTAGGGCATTTGACTTTATAAACCTCGTGGGCACCACTCATTTATCTGGATGACTTAGGATGAAGGGTTTCTTGGTCTATGTTCTCCACATCACTCAGTGTTTGTGAATACAAGGCTCTGTCTGACAACCACTAAGAGCTCCTAGAGTGTTCCTGTTGGGGGAAGACCCAACGCGTGCTCTCAGGGAGGTGAGGGTGGCAGTGTCCCTTCACACTATCTTAACTTCTTCCTTCTCACAAGAGGGCTGGGAGCTATTTCTTCACAGACCTGAAAGAGGCTCAGAGCAGAGCTCTTGAGTTCCACATATGTTAGGACTCAAAGACACCAAAAGCCAAGTCTCAAACAGCATCAGGGACCCTGGGCAGGCAGCATCAGTTTCAGGTGTGGTCACAGAGTTTGGATGAAGTTCTGTCATGTCTGGAGTAAGTGAGGCTGGCTTCCCTTCAGTGTCTCCTTATCAAATTTAGGCCTACGCAGACAGGGCTCAATGAAAAGAGCATCATTAAGGGAGAGAGGGGAGAGAGAGAGGCCTAGGAGATTTAGGAGGAAGGGAGATGCTCCAAAACGCACAGCAACTCCTCCACAAAACTCCATAAACGTCACAGATTTCAGGATGACCTGGGGAAAGTGTTCTCAAGATATTTATCACTAGCATGGAGGTTTAGCAATCAACTTTCTGAGTAGGAAAGAGCGATAATAGTCATGTCCTCAAATTTTTTTTGGAAAGCGGCTCCTTCAGATGGCAGAAAAGAATCTCTTGGCCAGACCTTCTCTTGTGCCTCCTGAAGAGGCAGGCTCCCTGGGAGTCCTTGCATACCAGCTCTCACTCCGACTGTTGTTTCTGAGTGAGAACGGTCACCGAAATGAACCTCAGATGATATCACTCTTAACTGCAGACTTTCATCCCTTATCTTTACCCCCAAAGCCATGTCCCTGGCTTATTCTGAGAACCTCTTGAGTCAGGGAGGTCCCTGCTGAAAAGACTCCTAGGGCGGCCGGCAACGCACGTGTGCGCGTGAGCATGGGCCTGCATTCCTATGTTTATCACAACCCTCTGTGTCATTCAGTATGATTGGTGAGAAACTAGAAATGCTACAAGTAACACTGAGAAGGAGACTCAGAGTAGTACAAGTGTCAGGACACGCTCAATTTCGTATTCTTCTTCCCAGAAGAATGCGTCATCATGGTTTGGGGAGCTTCCATCTCTTGGCCACAAGCCTGGGGACTGATGTGGAAACAGGGTTTCAGTGACATTTATCCCATAGGCATCACAACCAACTCTGACCCTTGTGGTCATGGCAGCCCTGGGGAGGGTACAGTGAGTGTCCTTCACTGATAAATAGTGACAACCACTTTTAGTTCATTGCTCTGCTCCACTCCCACCAACCCTTGTGCAAGAGCCACACTGACAAGGAACCGAATGACCAATTGGTATTTGAACCTGTTCTCTTTTGCCCAGCCTGACACCCTTCCTACCAGTCCTCCCATGGAAGGTATGAAAAAGTGACCAAAAGATGCAAGGGAGAAGTGCTGAGTGCCTGGATAATTAGATCCAACTCATTACGAGTTAGCTAGCTCTGTAAGTCATTGATTAATAAGAACCTCAATGCTTTGAGGGCCTTTATATCCAAGGCTTCATAAAAGGTACTGAAACCAAGTGTCTTTAGGATAAAATGAATCAGGCCTGTTGCCATTTAGGGGCCACCGCTGATTTCCAGCTGGGTCTGCGGTTACCTAGAGAGGCCAGGGTGGCGTCAGCAGTCTCTGTTGCTGAGCTAGAGAAAGCTCCAAGGAGGCGCAGCTCTGTTGCTGCTGCTGCTTAGATATCTCACGGGAGCTCCTCCACCCGGCCGCCGGTGACCACACGGCGTGGAGAGCAGTGGAGGCCGCAAGCCAGCCCACCGCCTTCTACTCTAGCCTCTGGTTTACGTCAGCACCTCAGGGTCGCCCAGTTGGACAGCATCCCATCTGCATCATCCCTCACCTCAGAGGTTAGAGAGAACACACATGGGCTGCTCAGCAGGGAAGGCTAGGGTTGGACCTCTGGCCGCAAAGGCACTTCTTGTGTAGGAAAGAACTGCCAATGCATTCAACCAACTCTTAAAGAAAAAAGAAGAAGAATCGTTTGTACATTTCGAAGTCCCAGAATAGTGCACTGAGGAAGAAGGGTCAACTAGTCTTTAACCTCATTAAAACATGCTCGTGGTGAAAATTTATTTTACATATTTAAAATAGTACATTTAAAATTATTAGTTACATTACAGGTACAATGATGAACATTGTGACTCTCCATTGTATTGCACAGCCTGACCTCATCCATATGGGTTTCTTTAAATAGTGCAAAATACTTTATACAGGAATGTGTTTGGAAGGGTCTTCGCAACCAGAATAAGGAAAAGAAATATCTTACAAATGACCATGAACATATATTAAAGTGACAGGGGAGGGGGAAAGTCAAAAAAAAAAAAAAAAAGTTACAATCTGTACAGAGGAATTGCCATAGACAACCAAAAAGTTCCCTCTCTCCTGGGAGAAGCAGCAGGCCTCTGACCTATACAGGTCTGGCATTTGTGCTAAGGTAATTTTTTGGTGTCAATCAAAAAAAAAAAAAATATATATATATATATCAGTAACTTAATACAATATAAATAGAAGTCCAGTCCAGTGAATCCTGTGGTGGGTCAAATGGAGCAACAGGAGGCATGCCTTTTGTCCCCTAGGGTTTCAGTAGGGTTCTTTTCTTAACAAGGGGGGGAGAAAAGAAAAAAAAAACAAACAGAAAATTACAAATGAAAAGGAAAGAAACACCATCACGGTTACCACCACCACCAAAAAAAAAAAAAAAAAAAAAAAAAATCGGAACACTCCAGCCCGGTTGCCCCCTGCTGCGTGTGGTTCCAGCGCTCAAACCTTGGTGCTGGTGGCACTGCCGAGAATAAGCAGCAGTAATTCCCTACCGTGTGTTTGCATTTTTGTGTTGTTTTGAATTTTTTTTTAATCCACATACTCCTCTCCCGGGGAAGCCAACGAGGCACTTACTTGATGCTCCCGTCACTATTTTCTGCGGCTGCTGTGGCTTTGGTGAGGGGTGCCAGGATGTTGCCCGGGACCCAGCCCTCGGCGGCGGGGGAGTGGTCGCTGGCGGGCTGGTACACCAGGCACATGTTCTGCTGGTTGATGGCAAGGACCTGGACCACCTCACCTTGGCTCACACAGATTTCGTTCTCCTTCAGTGCATAGTAATCTTTGATCACGGCCATGGATGAGACCCCATTGCAGCCTCCCAGGTCGCTCTGCCAGGAGACAAGGGCAAGAGGGACACAGACACAGCAAGGCTGGTTCACATGGGCTTGCTCTGCATCCTAATGTGTGGTTGAAAGTCAGCCCTCCCGCTAGCAGGGTAAATGGCAGGCAGAAGATTATCTTGAGAAATGGAATTATATTCATAAATGGGTTCTGAAAATGTATTTTATTTATAATGAAAAATTTATAATGAAAATGTCTCATTAATATTATAAGTGAGGGTGAAAAGGTGGAGATACTGCCCAGCCTTAGGTAAAGGTATAAACACGCCTTCCACCTGGGAGTCCCTCCTTAGCATGCATCTTCTCACTAGCATCCTCCAGCTGGAAGGAAGAGTGTGGCACAGACACAGGGATACGTAAGCACCTGGGCAGAGTGAGGTCAGGGCAAAGGTCAGGTCAGTGGTCACCATCCCCCAAAGAAAAGAACACAGACTCTTTGATACATGTTTTTCTTCCTTTTGAAAAAGCATTGGTCTTACTCTACATTCTGACCCTCCTTGAGACAGGAGTAACAATGAGACATTTGCCCAATTCAAAGGCAAGGCAATGACCTACCCTTACCCGACTCCTGTGGGAAGAGAACTCCAGTCCCCCTGTATCCATTAATATGAAGGGTCCTGCCTCCATGACCTTTGCACATGACTATGCACCAGGGAAGCTGCTTCTAGACAGACTTGTAACTTCCACAGATGCCTGGCTGCCTCACAGAGCATGGTGAGAGCCAGAAATTCTTCAGTGAGTTAATGGGACTTCAACTTATTCACAAGGGCAGGGGATTTTTAAGATGAAAAAATAATTTCCAGTTGATGTGATAAAATAGGTCAGTATAGTTACTCTTACACAGAACTGAACTTAGACATTAATAGTTAATTAAAAAATAAAAATGAGGAGTTCCCTGGTGGTCCAGTGGTTAGGACTTGGCGGTTTCACTGCCATGGCCTGGGTTCAATCCCTGGTTGGAGATCTAAGATTCTGCAAGTTGTGTGGCGTGGCAAAAAAAAAAAAAAAAAAAAAAAAATCAACATCTTCTAATAATATGGGTAAGAAAAATAAAACTGTAAGGTGGGAACATGTAGGTAAAAAATGCAGATGTTCCCATTCACAGACCCATTGAGCTCTAGAGGAAACAGACCTGATGAGATTAAGTAAACTGCTGAGGTTCTAGGGCAAGTCACAAAGTTCTGAGCTGCATAATTTGGAATAGAAACCAGATCGCCTGACTCGGGATCCAGCACTTTTGCCATTCATTGTCATTCCTACTACCTGGTGGCGTCAAAACAGCCGTGTAGACTGGATCTGCAGTTACACTGATGACTCTCCTCATGGCGATGTTTGAATTGTGGATTATCTCGGCTAGTCTAATCCAAGGCTAGCTTCCCCCATTCACACACTGATGGGCAACATCCTCTTGCTGCTTCAGCCAATGGGCGTGAGCTCGCTTCAGCAGCTCATCGTTAGAAAGGGCAATCTCTTCAAGATGTCAAACCCTAGAGCTGCGACTTTTAGATGATCCACACCACAACTCCTCTATTTGCTACAAATCATAATTGCCACTCCAACATTACCATATTTGTATAGTGTTTCTGCAGATGACGACAGCCCTTTAACACAGAGTATCTGGACGGTGGGGGAGGAGGGTAGTGGAGAGGTAGGGAACTGGTTTAACTCACTCAATTTGCAGGGGAAGAAAGAGAAATCATTGAGATTAGGCTGTATTTAGTGGGCCCTTCCTGCTAAAGTGAGCAGCATAAAAAGATGCTACTTTATAAAGTAAGCCCAGAGGCTGTACCCTCAGAGTGGTGCGGCTGGCAGTGGTGGGCTGTCACTTACCTTGCTGGCCTCAAACTTGTCCCCAGCCTGGTGGTAGTCAAACCCCGAACTGCCATTGGAGGTAGATATCTTCAGGGGTGGCAGAGGCGGGTTACAGCTGGAGCCCTTTGGGGGCTTCTCGGAGCCCACGGGGATGGAGGAGTAAGGCCTGGGGCTGGCTTGGGGAACCCTAGCAGGCTGGGACCTCATCACAGCTGTGTTCCTTTCTTTCCGCTGATATTCAATGGGCGACTGTAGGGCTGCAGGGAAAAGCAGACCATTACTCTCAGCTTTGGAAATCCCATAAGCTTTGGAGGCTTAAGAGGTCAGGCTTTGTGTGAGGCAGAGTGAGGATACGTGAGGAAGATACTACCCTGTTTTTAAAGAATGTATCATCTACCGAGAACTATTCTTAGTTTTGTCTAAATGATGAAAGTGCAAAACCGAAATGGTGCAAAAGGAGGGAGAGAGGGCTCTGTAGTACGTGTGTGCGCGGGTGGACACAGGGATGGGTAGGGTGGTAGTAAAGAGCTTCAGAAACTGCCAGCCATCAGGCCCTGACATGCAGGCTCTGCAGGGTGGAAGCAAATGGGAAGTGGGTCTGGGCAACAGGATGGAGTCAGATTCCCTGGAGCACAGAGCCATGGGTCTCTGTGGAGGAAGGAGATGAGACAGGTAAGGGAAGTTGGAGGTGCCAGGATGTGAAAGATCTGGAAAGCAGGTGAATGAGTCTGGATTTAATTCTGAAGTTCATGAAAAGTGACTGAATTAAGGCAACGTTCATGTTTTCAGTGCAGGTGCACCAGAGTACACCTGAAGAATGTTAACCTTGCAGCGGGTGAGGGGAGGGACTGGCCAGGCTGATTAAGAGCCGTGAGATAGTGAAGGGGAGAGGCCGGACCTGAGCAGAGCCATGGGAACGCGGAAGGGGTGCGGTGTGGCAAGCGCTCCAGAGGGAGCTGAGGTTGACACAGCCTAGATGGGAAAAGATGGCAAGGAGCCAGGGTAACTTGGGTTTGGAGGCTGGGAGAAGTGGTGGTCAGTGGAACTCTGCTTTGAAAGGAAAGAGGTAAGCTTTGTTTTCCTGAGTTTAAGATGATAAAGTTCCAAGGTCTTAGTACTAAAGAGGTACAGCCAGGCAAAAGCCATACAGGTCAAATTCTGTAACAGTGACTTCAAGGCAGGCCCGATTATGCTGTTTCTGTCAGTGTTCACTGTAACAAATATTTAATTGGGTTAACAGCTGGGGCCCAGAGAACTTTCCATTATAAGGATATTTCCCTAGTAATAGGTATATACTTTAATAGGACTCAACATATAGTCCACACTTCCTTTCTATTTGAGGTCTCAGGAGGGAAAGGTTGGCTCTGAGGTGCCTGCGTGTGTGTCTACAAGCAAAAGCCTGGCCCCAGTCCATCGTCACATCCTTGTCTTCTGAGTGTGTCCAAGTGCTGAACAGGCTGCTGCCAGGCCTCAGCCTTTCTCCCTGGAGAGCATTAAATATTTAGGTATAGAGAATCTAGCTCATTAATAACTCCATAATCCACTATAATTAGGCAAAAGGTCTCTTGGAACCGTGTACAAGTCTGGATAACTGACTATGCCCGAAGAAGTACTGCTCCAAGTTTGAAGCAGATAGCAGACAGCTGTGAAGCAGGCCGTAGCAAACTGATCTGATGAATCATTACCCATCTCATGGAAGTGGGGTATTGTACGCAATAACTGCGCTAAAGTGTTTGAAAATAGTATGTCTTCTTAACTAAGCTGCATAGGAAGTCTGTGCTCTTCGAGGGCCTCCATCTGCATAACTTAGGTCTTAGGACCAGGAAAGCTGTGCATCTTCAGGTAGGGTTTGCATCTGGCTGAGGGATACGGTGTCTTATACCTGGTCCTGTGTTTTTGCTTTGTTTGCTGGGGAACTCATAGACAAATGTGTGCCCTACCACTAGCAACTATACTGCAGTTTTGGGGTTAGAGCCTAATTTTAAGTTATGTAAGTTATACAGTTCTGGGTTCCAGTTCTTGTTTTAGCACCTACTGTTTCTGTGACTTTGGACCGGTTTCTTAACCTCCCTGAGCCTCCTTTTCCTCACCTGAAAAATACAGGATGGTATCACTTAGCTTTCCACACTGATGTGAGGATTAAGTGTGGTAACACACGTGAAATGCTTTGCATCGTGCCTCGCACAGAGAAAGGACTCCATATACGGGAGCCATTATTGTTACTCAATCATTTCCGGTTTCAACTTATTGTCCTACCTTATTTTTCTTTTGTCCTGAATTGATGAACTTAAAAACCTCATTCCAGCTTAGAATCTATCAGAAATTCCCAACAGAATCAATTTAATGAATGTATTTTATACATGCACATGTTTTTGCTTAAAATTATTTTATCCATAGAAGCATTAATTCAATGTTGTATACTCAAAAACTGTGAACTATATACAGCTTTCATTACTATCCCTCAGGACCGGGCTGGTGTTTAATTTTAGACTCTTTAGAATGAGAAAGAACCCTAGAGATCACTTAGTTTAGTTTTTTTCACCAAACTGTTCTACAGTCGGGGGACCTGGGGCATGGCCCCCAAATACTCTCCGTGTAAGTGTGTAACTGCTTTGAAGTCTCGTGTTCTAGCTTAAAAAGGCAAGGCATTCTGCTCCATAATCTCTTTTGATTTGTTTTAAAAGAAACACAACTGTGTTAAATCCCTTACCATGGAGTACAGTTGATACCTGGTAATCTCACAAGGCTCTCTAGTGTTATCTGGAGATACCCTGGGGTTTGGCAGACCAACTCAAATTCCCCTTTGCTCCCAAAAGAGGTGATTGCTAACTCTAAATTTCAATAATACCTTGAAACTTCCCAGAACAAACTGTCAATTACGCAGAGAATGACGCTCTCTCTGGGAGGTGTGCCACGTTTTCCCGCTTCAGTGCTGCAGAATAGGTCTTTCACAAAAAGAGCCCACTGAGGCCCAGAGAAACATCGTGACTTGCCCAAGGTCCATCCCCACAGCACTGAGTTCCGTGATAACACCCAGCAAGTGTCCTATTTGCGTCATTTGAAAAGAGACCAGATTCTAGACTAGAAAAGGTGACACACCCAAGGGTGGACATGTATGTGTAAACATGGGAGCACATATGGCCATACAGTACTCCTTCAGGTCCACAGAGAGCTTCATTCTCTGTGTAATTGATAGTTTGTTTTGGGAAGTTTCAAGGTATTACTGAAATTTAGAGTTAGCAATCACCTCTGTTGGGAGCAAAGAGGGGATTTGAGCTGATCTGCCAAACTGCCAGTTATCTCTAGATAGCACTGGAGAACCTCTGAGATTACCAGCCATTAGCTACTAAATGGAAAAACACACGTCATTGATAGCTGGCCCCTGAGACAAAGAGGATGTGCCCATTTCAGACTTTTGCCCCAATTACTACCAGCTGGTAATGGTGGCACAAGGCACATCCTCTATGTCAAGGCTGCAAGAGATTATTTCTTCTTTTGGAAAGATGGCCTTCTTTATCATGCCCCATCTGCCCACTTGTGCATTCGGGTTCAGAAAAATTCTACACGAAGTGTTTCTGAAAACTACAAAGTTGGAATGCATATAAATGTGATCGGGGCTCATAACTCACCAGGAGCCCAGACCCGAGGAGGTTCAGAGGTGTGGGGTCCCCTGAAAATGGCCCGGCAAGAAGCCAGACCCGGTACTCACCATTTAAGAAGTCTCGCTGTGTTTCCAAGACTTGGTTGATATCCTGCACCCAGGCCTGCTGGATATCAGCGTTGGCGGCTTGCAGGATGACCCTCTCCGAAGTCTCCCTGTTCATGAGTGCAAACTTGCAGGGGTCACTGTCCACGTTCTCCTCCAGGACCAAGTAATTCATCTGGAAGAAACCAAGGTGATCCTTTCCATACTAAGCAGTTTTTAAAAATCAACAACATATTACAGTTCCTCAAAGTTTTTATTTCAGGAAATGTTTCCAAAATTGTGCCCTGAATCTAACAGCTTAAATACTTTGGTTTCTGTCTTTGAGTGAACGACATGATCTTGGAGAACCTGCAGGATCATGTTAGAGACTGGCACCGAGCCTGTCACTTTTTCTCACAGATAATCAACCTTCAATTCCGAAGGTTACTAGGCCGAAAGATCTTCAACGTTCTGGATCCTCACTCTTGCCAGTGTCTCTGTCTTAGGCAAGTGGCTCCCCCAGTGTGACTGTTCTTTGCCCCTTCTCATCCCCACCTGGATCCTCACCTTGATGCTCCTTTTGAACATGTAGCCTGGGGTGAGGGATCCCTTCCTGAGCAGTTCACTGAAGATGACAATTTGCTCAAAGAGGAACACGCGCCTCTCCTTGGTCCGTGACTGCATGCCGGCATCCAGCTCAATCACGTAGAACGTATCCTGCTGCAGCAGCTTGCCCTGAGCGGTCAGGGTGCCCTGACGGAAAGAAGGGCTGCGGTGAAGTAAGTGAGAGACAGGGAGATGACCACAACCCTCTAGGTCACAGAACCTCCCTCTGTGGGGACATGGACAACAGACCTGACAGCAAAAGCCTCAGGCTCTAGTAAGAGACTGAATCAGGGCCCACCCAGACATCGAGGGCAGACTGCGGCCACCTTCCCGTTCACACAGGGCCCTGGAGGGAAGGGAAAGGAGGCTACGGAACCACTAAGAAGCAGCTCCAGGAAAACACCAGAAGGAAGGTAAAATTATTAGCTAAAAAGATGTTGGGGAATTATGTTGGCCCCTCTTGTTTTTTTATTAAAAGGAGAACAGAAAGTAGATGATGCTGGAGCTGGAAGTGGCCTTTCTGTCCTCGGAGCTCTGAGAGATGTGCCTGCCTGGCCCTTGCAGCCAGGACCTGGGGTGCTAGCCATGAACCTAGAACCAACCTGGGGCCAAGGGAAGTGATGGAGGCCGGACCACAAAAAGAAATCAGATGAGTCAGGCTCCTCTCTTCTATTATTTCAGGATGGGGAAATTCTGAGGTCTTAGTCTCCTGCTCCAGATCAGCAGGCACAGTTGAGATACTATCGACAGGTGTCTATATTTCAATGCCTCCAGTTGCCAGACACTTGACACTCAGGGTAGGAGGTGGAGCCTATCTGGTTCGCCAGTTCTAACCAGATTTTCAGAAACACTGTCACATCTTCAAAGGGAATATGGCCTAACCCGGCAAGTCTTCACGGATGCTATTGCTTTTTCTACTGTTCTGCAACAAGAAGACACTGGCATCTGAGATAGTGGCCAGAGGGCCTCCTCTGAACTGTACTTTCAGGTGACAACTTTTGCCCTTTAGCGCAAATGTGGGCTATTTTCTGTATGTGACGCCTTGTTCCAAACATTACCCAACACACAGGTCATTTTCCTTTCATGTTCCTGAGAAACGCCTGCCCTCTGCTTGGATGTGGTTCCTTACTGTCCAGGTCAGCAGCCAAACAGGCTCATCTCTACCCTGGTCCAAAGTTAATATTAAGCCAGTGACCAGCCCTAAAAGCTCTATTAATATTACATAAGAGCCTAACCCATAAGTTATAGCCCTGTCAATGCCAAAGGGAAAGCTAGAGGATTTAAAAGGGAGAGAATCTAAGGGAAGGGGCTAACTTCTCCCTGACCCAAAGCCACGGACTTCAGAAGGAATGGAAGTACGTTCATGGTCCTTCCCAATTAGCTGAAGGAATGCAAAGCATATTCTCTAGGGCTTGATGAAAAAAGGGGATGGTGGTGCTTGATTTAAAAGAGAAAATAATTCCACCCTCCTGTGTGTGGCCTTCTGTGGACACACGACCATGCACAACACAGTTCCTGTGAAGTCTGACTTGGGTCAGAAGGTACATCAGATGCTGCTCCTCCTGTCAGGGACATCAAGGATGAAGAGCAAAAGGAATTACTTTTGTTCAGAACAGGCTCAGATCTGGCATAATTCCAAGGGAACAGGTACACCATCATCTAGCGTGACTAAAGAAACACTGTGTGAGAACTCGGGGTGAATTTCTGCTGCATGACCCTGCTTCTCGAATGCCTCATGCCTACTGTGGAGAACAAGAACCTGTGAAAAAATGAACAGCAGAAAGGACCCTCCACATAGTTCCCGGTCACAACAAATCAATGGAAATCAGACAGGGACACCAGGATGGGCGGCAAGGGCAAAAAGGACAGAAGAATTTGGCTCAAGACCATCATGAATCCAACTCATCAACCCAAACCTGAATATAGCATTTCCTAACTTTACTTGTATACCAGTCTGCCTTATGTCTATTTTATTCTAGTTTAGCCAGAGGAAAAAAATGAATAATGAAATCTTGCAGGATTACTGGGAAACAGGATTAGAAGATCCACATCTTTCTCTAAGGGGCTCAACAACTAAGCACCAGTCAATAACTGCATCAGTTCCAGTTTTACCGTATTAATATTTAAAACAGATTATGTTTAGTTAGAAGTGTGGATATAAATTAATAACAGCCACTTATTAAGTTTAAACCAGGAAAGTCAATTTGCTCTTCTAAGGTTCACTGTTATGGGTTGAATTGAATCCCCTCTCCAGTTTGGATGTTGAAGTCTTAACCCCCAGCACCTCAGAATGCGACCTTATCAAAAGACAGAGCCTTTACAAAGGGAATCAAGTTAAAGAGAGGTCATTATGGTGAGCCTTAATCAAACATGATCGGTGTCTTTATAAAAAGGGGAAATTTGAACACAGAGATATGTACAGAAGGAAGGCGATGTGAAAATACAGGAAGAATGCCATGTGAACATGAAGACGGCCATCTATAAGCCAAGGAGGGAGGCCTGGACAGACCCTTTCCTCACAGCACTCAGAAGGAACCACCCTTGCCTACACTTTGATCTCGGACTTCTAACTTCTGGAAATGTGAGATGATAACATTTCTGTTGTTCAAGCCACCCAGTCTGTGGTACTTTGTTATGGCAGCCCTAGCACACTAGCATATTTGTTGAAATCCAAACCCTGCGTACGTCTAGCTGTTTCTCCCAAGACTTGATTCTTCTTGTCAAAGAACAGCACTGTGATGTTTTAGAGCTTTAAACATTCATTTAGCTAAAAAGCCAGCCACTATGTAGACCCGTTTACTAGAACCACCCTCTCCAAAAAAAAGTGTTCCATTTTCCCTCTGGTTCTACTCTCATCACGTAGTCCTGTTCTCCCTCACATTCCCGGCATTTCTCAAGCAAGCAAGAAAAGGGAAGGGGTCATCGGCACGTCCATAGCTATAAAGAATCTGGGGTCTTTCCAAGCCCCTTGCAATCCTGACTGCAGCTTGGTCGACTTCCTCTGGCTGCCCTATCACTGGAGGTCCCAAACAGGCGCACCTTCCAGGCCTGTGATCCGGAGGGGCCTGGGCACAAGGGCAAACGTGGTGAGTGAGAGAGGCAGAGAACACGCGCACAGGACTTCAAAGGGAAGCCTGGGCTCCTGCTGCCCTGAAGGGAGAGGGCTAAGCCTTCTTTTTTTTTCTTTGCAGTACGCCGGCCTCTCACTGCTGTGGCCTCTCCCGTTGCGGAGCACAGGCTCCGGACGCGCAGGCTCAGCGGCCATGGCTCACGGGCCCAGCTGCTCCGCGGCACGTGGGATCTTCCCCAACCGGGGCACGAACCCGTGTCCCCTGCATCGGCAGGCGGACTCTCAACCACTGCGCCACCAGGGAAGCCCAAGAAGCCTTCTTAAGGGCTCACCTCAAAGCCCTGCAGGCGCCCCAGATTCATCATGTCGTTGCAGCGTTTTGGAACAAGGCACATTAACTCCACTGCTTTCTGTGGGAAAGAACAACAGCAGTCAGGGCGGGGAGCGGCAGTGGGGAAGGGGGCTCGGCGGTTCCATGCTGGAAGCCAGGGGCCTCCTGGGGGCTCCCTGATCCTAGGAAAGGACACTGGTCCCTGCTGTCCACTTCAGAGGAGGGAGGGCTTTCCTGTTCTAAGCTGGGGGCTGTTGGTCATCCGTGCAGGGGCTCCACGTGAATCAGTGAGCACACGCGGGGAGGATGCTACCAGCCCATCCTTTTCCTAACCTTCCCACTTCTGTTTATCCATTTGCTTTCCTTCTTGCATTTTCTTTTTTCTCTTTGTTGCTCCCTGGCTGCCGCAGCAACAGCTTAGCCTCGCTTGTGAAATACTAGAGGTTTTAACCTAAAATAACCTGCCAGAATGGTCTGTAACCTCCCTGGCTTAAAATAATCCCCATGGTGACATTGTCTCTAAGGACTTCACTTAGGGAGTAATCCTCGGGGACGGGGGAGGGAGTGAAAATGGAATAATTTGTATGTCAGCCTCAAATAGTACCCGGATTCATGGATAAAGCTGCACGATGAAACACCCAATCTCTGCAGGATGTTAGAGGGTTAAAATACCACCCTTTCGCACCACATGTCACTGGGAGCTACGAGGAGAACACGAGCAGGGCTAAGCTCTGGTCTGGCCCTGGACCGGATTCTCAAAAAACGTTCAACGTGCTCCTTAATACTCGCCACTACACATCCTGCTGGCAGCTGTCTGCAAGGGGCTCTTTGCTGTCTGAGAGGAGCCAGCCTGGACTCTCCATCCTCCAGGGCCAATCTTTCCCCTTTAGGGGCAGACATCCAATAACTGTCCCATAAGAGCCACCAGCATTACAAGCAGAAAACTCACCTCGATATCAGAACACTCCAAACCAGCCTTCTCGCTGTATCTCAGGAAGTCCTAGCAAGTGGGGGAAGCAGGGAGAGTGAAACCAGTTAGGAAAAGAAGGCCCTATAAAAAAACGTAGCATCGTAAAAACCAAGATGACACCCAGGAGACTTTCCTTCCCCACAGAGATGGCAACGCTTTGTAGTAGCTGAGATATGAAGCTGTGAGTCATGGTGGATGTAATCACACAGAGAAAACCCCGGAATATTCAAAGATTCAGAGCTATGGGAAAAGGGCGGGAGGGGTGAAGGGGAGAGAAGGTGTGTGAATAGGGACAAAAGGGGAATGATGACAAGGAGGAAAGGGACAAAGGACTGTCAAATCTCTCATTTGCTTCATATTTCTGTAAGACAAGTCAAACTAAATGATTTTAAAAAGCAAAAAAATGATCAAATTTTAGGTTTTACTCATCTAGGGTTCCTAGGGCTTTGCCTTTCCCTTTCTTTCTCTGTGTATTCTACTCTAATTTTATGCTCTTATTATTTTTTAGTTTTTAAAGGTACCAAGCCAGTCAGTGATGGCAACAACGTAAGAAAGTGATTTGGAAAAAAGAAAATCAAATAACCACCAACCTTAAGGAAGGAACAACAGGCATGCAATTTATGCAGGGGCAAAGCTGACACAAATAACCAGCCGGTAAAAGGTAAAAACGCACACATGCCCCCAACTAGTGTGGTGGAGACAGAGCCTCGAGCTGACCTGCTCCCTAACTCAGAGCCTGATGAAGACCCCGCTCTGGCCCTGGGCGGGTCTCACAGCCCTCTTACCTTGAGGAGCAGCTGATACTTTGTTATTCTCTGAATGGGCTTGATAAGGAAGTCGCTAAGTGTCAGCCTTTCATTTATCTCCTGTTTCACCTCCTGGAACACAAGCGAGCTACATCAGGGGAAAAGGAACCAAAGGATTGGGGTGCTCTGGACAGGGGTTCAAAGGCAAGGACGGCAGGTCTTCATGTTTGCCAGTAAAGGTTTAGAATCTTCAAACCACGCAACGGGTAGAATTGCCTACACGATAGCTCATTTTGTTGTTAACGACAAAGCACATCTCACCATCACCTTCTTACCTATCAAGCTCTGTCACACCCAGTCCCAGGGACAAGCCGGCATGGGTGTTCTGTTCTCTCTCCCACTCCACGGCCAAGTCAGAAATGAAGGGCTTCCCCTGGGACACCACAAGCCTACAGGCTGGGCCCTCAACTCAGATCTGCAAACACTCAGGCAAGGGCTCTTTCCAGGTGATGGTGTTGCCTCTCCTCCAGCACAATAAACGCCTCCAGGGTGCGGCAGCACACACACTTTAGGTGCTTGCCGGGCCTCGGGGAACGGGACAGAGGCTACGTACAAGGTGCTGTGAGCCCCTTGTTGAGGGTCCTCAGCAAGCAGCCTCCAGGGCCCGGTGAGGAAGAGCGTGGGCGCAGTGGGCTCCGGGGTCACGGAAGGGGGACCGGAGCTTCTGCCGCGGGCTCTGCGTTACAGAGTCGTTCTGCCGACGGGGGCTCTAGAAGAGGAGAGGAGCTAACGAGAACTTAGCCAAGAAGCTAACGGCTCTGTTGAGGCAGCCCTCCCTGTCCTGAGGGATGGACAGTGCTGTGAGGGGGCTCCGCGCGGACGGATGACGGCCGGTGTTTGTGAATGGGGTGGTCCCGGCCTGAGCGTCTTGCCCACACTGTGGTTCAGCCAGGCCCGAGCAGCTTACCTCAAAGTAGGCGTCGTACTCGGCGACGATGTACTCGGAGCGCGGCTTATTCTGGCAGTACCACACGTAGATGTGCAGCTTCCGCTCCTGCAAAGGCAGAGGGAAAGGCGCTCAGGCAGCTGTGCCTCGCGCTCCATCTCAGAGTGCTAAGCTGGTCTAGGGGCGGAGAGACAAAGGACAAAGATGTGGCCCATGTTCTGGGGCCGCACCAAAGAGGCTAAATATCAAGGACAGAGGAGAAAAACACAGTGGGCAAGAGCCCATCTTCCAAACTGCCAGGAAAGAGAGAAAAGACCCCAATAGCTCAGAGAGGGATGAGGAGGGAGAGCAGAGGAGGGAAGGGACAGTAAAATGCATGCAAATGCGCATGGTGGGAGGGGGAGCGGAGGGGCCGCAGGGCAACACTCACATATTTAATAAAGAGCTGTGCCAGTCTGTCTTGCTCCTGGATACATTTTTCCAGTTCACCCAGGAAAACACTATAAAAGGATGGAGAGAAGAGAAGGAAGGCACATTCTTCAGAACTGTATCATTTCTCAGTGGTGAGATGAATGACACAAGACTCTCCCCAAACCCCACCCCTAAGGTCAGACACAGGGGGAGGACAGGAGAGTCCTGGATTCCAAGACCCCCTGATCCTCAGGGCAACGTAGCACTTACTCCTTATGCCAATCATAAATCTGGTGAATATTTCCAAACACGATTTTATCCTTTCCTCGCATGTCCTCAGGGACACCCTTTTCTTCTATCCTCTTCATGAAGCCCTGCGGGGCGGAGGCAACGGTGAGTAAAGCGTTTTCACGAGGAGGCTTTCTGGGCCAAGCCCCACCCTGCAGCCCCGTGGAAGCCCCCAGTGCGTGTGAGGAGGCGGCCAAGGGCTTCTGTGGTTTCTCCACACTCAACCAGGACTTCACCCTTGTGCAGAGGGACAGACAAAACTTCTGTGAAGTTCTGGGTCCCTTTCTTTGTCTCCAGCCCCCGTAAGAAAGCAGGACAAAGAAGAAACAGTTGCCTGTTCTTCTCCCATCTCCCAATCCAATTAATTACGTCTTTAAAGGCTTAAAACTAGATGTGTTTGACCTAGAAATAAGTCTTAATAGGTGAATACTTTCGATTCTGTAAAGTGCTATCACATATAATCTCATCTCAGTTTTAAAATCAGGTTCTGAGGTTGTACCAGCGTTTATCCCCATCGAAAGATGAGAAAGCCAGTGCATGGGGAATTATGTGATCTGTCTAAGTCACACCACTGATGTCTGACTTCCCTGGACCTCAGTCTGCAGATTCCCAAGCCTGCCACTTCCAGGCTGGACTGCTTATGGAGGCTGCTACAGCTCTAGCTGCCCCCATCCCACCTTGGAACAGAGGATAACTTTCCCCAAGTTAGAATTCAAGTCTTCTATCTGCCAGGTTAGTCTGTGTATCCAAGGTTCAGGACAGGTAAATACGAACCCCTAAATCAGCAGACTGCATAGGATGGGGGCTTACAGACCCAATGTAAGGAACCAGCAGGTGATTCAGATATCAGGCATTCACTTTTTAGACTTCACATCCTGTCGTTTAAGATGATTAACAGCAGGGCTCTAGGGCATCTAAATTATCCATTTAGTTTCTTAGACTTTTTCCTCCAAGTGTCTAAATCCCCCTAAAGTAAACCCCTATGGAGAGAGCTGTTCTATTTACTATCAAGTTGACTTTTAACTGTGGACCTGCCAATCTCGCCTTATTGGTGGTTTTTTCTTTGTCCTCTTGGTAGCAAACTAGGGAAACATGGAAGCCCCAAGGTTTCACTAAGAGTGACCTGCTTAGTGCCCATGCTGGCTCATAACTGTGAAGAATATGTCAGTATATTCTTATATTTATGGTTATATATATATATATATATATATATATATTTATTTATTTATAACTAGTATATATATTGGTTAGATACCAATGAAAAGCTCTGGAGACAATAACTTGGTCACCTAAAACAAGGTGAAATGGATTCAGGTCTAACTAAGAGGCTGCAACATTTGGGGCCCTACCCTCCTCTAAATCTCTTATAATATTTCAAGGGGAAAAGAAAAAAACTTACCTACATATTCTATTTGATCTACTACCATTTTTAGTTTCATCTCTACAAATACCCAGGGAGAGTAAAATACATACTGTCAAGTTAAATCACCATGGGGCCAGGACTTCCCTGGTGGCACGGTGGTTAAGAATCCTCCTGTCAATGCAGGGGACATGGGTTCGATCCCAGGTCCAGGAAGATCCCACATGCCGCGGAGCAACTAAGCCCGTGTGCCACAACTACTGAGCCTGTGCTCTGGAGCCCACAAGCCACAACTACCGAGCCCACAAGCCACAACTACTGAAGCCCGCGCGCCTAGAGCCCGTGCTCTACAACAAGAGAAGCCACCGCAATGAGAAGCCCGCGCACCGCAACGAAGAGCAGCCCCCGCTCGCCGCAACTAGAGAAAGCCCGCGCGCAGCAACGAAGACCCAATGCAGCCAAAAAGTAAATAAAAATAAATAAATTAAAAAATAAACAAAACAAAACAGAACACCACAGGGCCCAGGTAGGGTCCAATATGCCACTGGCTGGGTGACCACAGACCCGCCCTGAGCCATGTACTCACCTCTACCACAATCCCCAGATCCTTCACATAGTCTTTCTCTGTCTGTACCAGTTCATTCAGGACAAACCTGAGCAGGAGATTAAGAACAGTGAGGGTTCCTCTTCACTGTGAAGCAAGAAATCTTCACACTGAAGTTCACAGGAAAGTTACTTTGGCGTCTCTATGACAAGACCACCCAAACCCACGCTGGGCACCCTGGGGGAGGTGCTGGCTGGTGCCCTCTGGATGAGAGGCCCCCGCTGCTCAGGAGCTGAGGGCAGCGGGGCTGAGAAGGCTTTCCCAGATGGCAGCAACAGCCAGAAGAACAATGCTCACAACCCAGCATCTGTCTTCCTATTCCTTATGCTTCCTCCTCCCTCACCTACAACTGAATAGTTGTACAGACACAAGGCAGAAGGAATAACAGTCACTTGGGCAAAACTGAGTTATGAAAGCTTCGAAGCCAAGGGATCAGCAGGGGGCTTTTCCTCCTTCGTGTCAGCTCTGTTCTTTGCTTAACAAGAAGAGAAAGACATCTGTCTGATAAGCAACCTTTGGGCCTCAGAGACACTGTCATCAAGTGAAGTGTTTGAGATACAGAAGCTACAATCATTCAGGTAGGCGTCCATGGTAACTGGCCTGCAAAAATCCCCCGTCCAGGCCAGAAAGATTCCCTAATCACCCCTTTCAGTGTGGCCACATCCCCATCCCCACCCGATGCGGGATTTAATCACTACGAGGACATTTACTTTCTTGGTTTCTTTCTTGTTAATGATTTCTTCCTCTTAGAACATTTGCTTTTGTGCCAGTTGCTTCATCTGGCTTTCCTCAAGCTTATGAGAAGGTAAGTACTATAAGCCCTGGTTTATGTAGATGGAAATACTGAGGCAGTATCGCCCAAGATGACAATGTGAGAAGCAGAGCTGGGATTTGAACCCAGTTGTACAAGAGTCCAAAGACTCTGCTCTTTCACTGTCGCCCGCTGCCTGGTTAAACGACTCAGACTGGCTCTCTGGAGTCCCTGAGGCGTCAAACCCAAACACTTCTTTCTTCCTGTCCAGACAGTAAAGAGCTGGACATAAAACACATATGGCTGTGCACAGGGGCAGGGTAGGTGTACGCAGCTTAATGGAGTCTGATTTGTATTATCTAAGTTTGAAAGAGTTTAGCTTGGAGCCATACAACTGCATTTTTGACCCGAGTGGCAGAAGGGGTCAAGCTCTAGGATGTCAAAGAGGGGCCCCAGCCCAACGGTAGTAGCCGTTCTGAACCCAGGAAGCAATTCCTCTGAAATTCTTGTCCATACAGCACAGAGAAGCCACCGAATCCCCGGGCCTAGAGCCTCAGGGCGATGGGGAACACAGGCTTCTTTATCAGCATGCCCAGCACTTCCAACCAGCTCCCTCTCTCTGATACACACAATTATGTGTTTCAGGCCACAGGAAGGAACTGGCAACGCCAAATAAAAGCATTTAAATGTATCTTTAGCATGGTCCGAGTTACCACTTGGAAGAAGGTGGTAGAAGAAAAACCACAGGAAAGTTAGAGTGGGAATTTGGGGCTAGAAGGGCCTTCTGGAGATGAAGTCCAGTTCTCTGCCTCTGGGTGGTATTTCTGTGCTAAGCTACCTGCTGACATTGAAGTGTGTCCTGGGCTTTCCAGCCTCTAGGGAAGAGGATTAGACTAGGTGCTGCCAGTGGACCTAGCATCTCCTCCCTTGAAGAGCTGATGAAAAACACTTGGAGAGATAATGACACATTAAAAGACATTCTGAAAAGGTACATAAAAGATTTATGCTACATGCATCTCAAGGCAGTACACAATCAATTGTCAAATAAACTGAACTGACAATAAAGCAATTTTTTTCATGTTCAGTTCTTATGAGTAAAGGTTATTTACAAAGTAAATGCTATTCTTTGGTCCAACTAAACTTCTTCCAGCTACAGGTCAGACCTACTTCTGACGTCTATCCTTCACAATGGTAGGGAATGGCTGGTCTTCCACAGAAAAATCTCTTACAGCCTTTGCACTGGCTGTTGCCTGTGTTGAGAATACGTTTCCTCCATGGCTACAGGCTAGTTCCTTACCTGCTTCTGGTCTTTGCGCAGACCGCTTTGGTCAGAACCATTTAAAGCCGCAATGTGGCCTCATCCATACTCCCGATCTCCCTTACTCTTTTTTCTTTTCTTCCAGCTTCTAACATACTACATGATTTATTTTACATTTTGTTTATTGTATGATTTCTCCCATTAGAATGTAAACGTGTCACGAGAGCATGGACTTTTCTTTTGTCGTTATTGTTTGTTTTATTCACTGCTGTGTACGCCAAGCACTTGGTACATAACAGGTGCTCAACAAATATTTGTTGAATAAATGAGTGGCTAAAACTTGAAGACAATTAAGTCCATTCTTGGCTTTTTTCTTCTCCTGGACAAATAACTGTCTGTTTACACCTTCTCTCCATGGAGCTCTCATTAAACCTTTTGAGGGCTTACTGGATTGAGTCTCAATTCTCTATCCCCCCCAGCCTCCAGCTTCACATCCTCTCTTTCATCATGACCATAAAGTATAGCAGAATAAGGACAATATACAGTAAAAGGAATGACTCATTCTAATGCCTGGATTTTTGGGACACTGCAGGATGTGAAAATATGTGGAGGAGGGCGAGAGAGTGAGAAGAGGGGGAAGAAATGAATGAATTGGGTAAAAGAAGCAACAAACCTTTGCCTGTTGGAGCAAAATTAGACAATATCATGTCTGGAAGCAAGACAATGACTTAAATGACTGTTCATAGGCCCTATTACAAGAGTAGAGATAAGCTTTGCCAAGGAACACCTGTCACCTTAAAGGTTACCTCCCTAATATAAGCTTTCACCTTCCTGATATAAGTTTTGCTTTGGCTTGACAAGACTGGAACATCAGCTCCAACCCTGCCTCATCTATGTAAAAACTGAACAGCTAAGGAGAAGCAGCTTTGTACAAGTCCTAAGAAACTTCCCTTTGGGGATGGTATTTCTTTACCCCTATTCTATTCCTGGGGTTCCCCCTGAGCACCCATAAAGTTAAGGGGGTAAATATGGAACCAGAGCACTTACATGACACTTGCTCATTTCCATTAGGAGGTGACAGCCCTGCTCTGGGGCCAGGCCCTAGCTATGATGTTTCCTTGGTAACAGTTATAAATGGTCACTTCGTCTATCTGCAGGCAACAGAAGGACCTGGCCTCCTTTATTTTTGCTAATCTTCATGTCTATGACCAGGCTAAAGGAGTGACTAGTTTGGGGCAGAAGGGCAGGCTAATTAGCAACAGGGCGGGACCTTTTCCGCCTGCCTATCCCATTCTCACTGTGCTTACCATCTCTCACACATCAAGCTATGTGCAAGACTCATTAGCAGCTCTGCGTGCAACACAGAGTGAAACCCTAAACAACAAAACAAGTTTTGGAGGGACTGTAGTTTTGCAGTAATGGTGTTGCTATCTTCTTGATCGAATCAAGTAATAGAAGATTGACTTCCCATCACGGTAGATAACTCAAACCTTGCAAAACATATGGGTTCTTGTGAAATGGACTGCCAATGTGAATTGTATTTACCCCTAACCATTCTAAAAGTAAAGAGGTTCTCTTGGAACTCAGCCCACAGTGAAATAAGTCAGACAGAGAAAGACAAATACTGTATGATATCACTTGTATGTGGAATCTAAAAAATAAAAAAAAACTAGTGAATATAACAAAAAGGAAACAGACTCACAGATATAGAGAACAAACTAGTGGTTACCAGTGGGGAGAGGGAAGGGGGGGGCAAGATAGTAGTGGGGGATTAAGAAGTACAAACTATTATGGGTAAAATAAATAAGCAAGGATATATTGTACAGCACAGGGAATATAGCCAATATTTTATAATAACTATAAATGAAGTATAACGTTTAAAGTCTGTGAATCACTATGTTGTACACCTGTAACTTACGTAATATTGTACATCAACTGTATCTCAATTAAAAAAAATTGGGCTAACAAAACCCCCCCAAAAAACAAATATTACTCTATAAAAATTTTTTTTAAAATAAAAACCGCTGGAGAAGGGGTGGAGCTAGAACCCAGCATGGTAGCCCAACAGCTCCCTTTTCCTATACGTTACTTTCCTACATGTGGGGAAACGTTTCCTCAGATGAAACTCCGTCAGACTTTCTAACATGGAGTCTTTGATATGGAGCCACAGTAATGGTCCCATACTTCCCTGACCTTTGTTGTTTTGTTTTTTATCAGCATGTTTTAAATTTCTAACAGACTTGGTTATAACCACACCATCAGTAATAGCCCTTATCTTACAGAAAATATTTCAGCTGAAAATCCTTAAAGTCAGTGCCAAACAGCCCGTTGTTGATCAAGGTCACACTGTATAGACCGGTCACCTTTACTTAGAACGAATGGCGCCAATGGAAACACAGTGTGGGGAATCCTTAATTCTCCCCAAACTGCACAGGACCCCGTCCCTTGTCCACTGCACACACGTGCACCAGGCTGGAGTCTGGGGAAGCACTTACATCCTGCCTCTCAGGGCCTTGGCTTTCTGTTCTTCTTCCAGGTTTCTAGGAGGTGTGGGTGGGGTCATGCCCTCATTCAGGCAGCCTGTGGGGTCTTTCAAGCTCCCCCGGTACGAGCCTCCTTCCAGACTCTGAAAAGAGAAGAATGAACAGCCTTAGAGAAGTGAACGTGGGAAAGTGGTCTGGAAGTCCTTGTGCCCCCCCAGCCCAGCCACAGCCAACTTGGTGGATTACTAACCAAGGCTGTTCTCACTGAACTTCAGTGAAGTACCAGGAGGCCAGAGACTCCCATCTTCCTGCAGCAGGGAGCCCAGAGCCGCCACCTTCTCAGGCAATTAGGATGTACTTGGTGTCAGGGGCCGCCAATTTCCCGAACATAATGAACACCGTCAAAGTGATTGATCTCTGGGTAAGAGCTCCAGAGGTAAAGCTAATCGTCGCAATTCTACACCAAACAAGCAATGAGGAAAGAAAATCCTCACTCGTAGGACCACCAAATGTGAATTGACAAGGGGAGGGCAGTGATAGGAGAATTTGTTCAGTAAAATCATGTTTGTTAAATCAGCTACGATTTTCTTTGAAGAGGCCAATGAGATGTAGACAAGAAGAGGTAAACAGACTTTAGCCTTTTCTAAAAACATCTTTGCTAAGGTTATTTACCAAGGGCTTTCTTTCCTTTATTAATCCCTTTCATCTCTTTTAATTAAGGTGCTGCAGGACGAAGAAACAAGTTAAAGGGGCACTTCCCTGGTGGCGCAGTGGTTAAGAATCCGCCCGCCAATGCAGGGGACACGGGTTTGAGCCCTGGGCCGGGAAGATGCCACATGCTGCGGAGCAACTAAGCCCACGTGCCACAACTACTGAGCCTGCGCTCTAGAGCCTGTGAGCCACAACTAGTGAGCCTGCACGACACGACTACTGAAGCCCATGCGCTCTAGGACCTGTGCTTCACAACAAAAGAAGCCACCGTAATGAGAAGCCCGCGCACAGCAATGAAGAGTAGCCCCGGCTCGCCACAACTAAAGAAAGCCCGCGTGCCGCAACAAAGACCCAATGTACCCAAAAATAAATAAATAAAATAAATAAATTTAAAAAAAAAAAAAAAAGAAAGAAAAGAAACAAGTTAAAGGGATTAATATGTTACTCTCGAAAGAGCTAAGGGTAAAGGATTCTAATCCTAGATCTGCCAGTCCCTGGATGATTTTAAGGGAGACAGATAAAATTGTTCCATGCTTCAGTTTTTCTCCATTTTCAAGTTGGGTCTCTCCTTTCTACAGATTTTTAAGGAAAAGTCAGAGACAATAGGTGTACAACCCCTTGAAAAATTTAAAACGCTCTACAGTGGTGGGTTCCCCCACTGCCCCCCATGGATGGAAGTATTAACAATAAGGATGCTAAAAGATGGGGTCAATCTTAACAGTTTTATAAGTGCTGTAGAAGAAAGAGCACGCAGCTTAGCATTTCATTATGCAAACTGGCAGAAACCATGTGGATAAACAGTAAGACTGGAGACCAAGGTCACGGTGGGCAAATGGAAAACAAATATGGGAGAGTAATCCCAACTAGCCACACAAAACGACTGTCTCCTACAGCCACTGTCGTAGGAAAAGGAAAGGCTTTACTTTAGCCGTCTTTGAAAACATCAGCCCTAAGGTTAAAGTCACAAAGATCAAGAAGTGCCCCCAGGGCTTCCCTGGTGGCGCAGTGGTTGAGAGTCCGCCTGCCGATGCAGGGGACACGGGTTCGTGCCCCGGTCCAGGAAGATCCCACGTGCCGCAGAGCGGCTGGGCCCGTGAGCCATGGCCGCTGAGCCTGCACGTCCGGAGCCTGTGCTCCGCAACGGGAGAGGCCACGGCAGTGAGAGTCCCGCGTACCGCAAAAAAAAAAAAAAAAAAGAAGTGACCCCAAAGGTAGTAGGAACAAAAGGCTTCAGCATGGTCTCAAACAACCCACACTTGGAGTATCTGTCACAAACTCACTTAGCTGCTGTATTTCAACAGAGGCTGAATAGAGTGTAGGAAAAGCGCAGGTAAACAAAACAAAAAGCGAACGAGGTGACCAGTGGGGCCATTATATGAGAACAGGTGGGGATTACTAGAATTGGAGGCTGAAAAACTTAAAGCTGAGATGTCAACCTTCTTTCCCCCCACTCCATCCCCAAATCAAAGGCCTGTGCCAAGGGCCAAACATGAACTTGTTACCAACACTAGAAGTAGCATTAAGAGGACAGGGTCTTCAAGCTCGAGAGAGAGAGCTGCTTTTAACTTGACATGAAGGTGTCTCACAGAACAAGTAATCAACCATGGACGTTGTCATGCAGAGAAGCAGCCTAGGCTAAAAATATAGAAAGGTCAAGAAGAGTTTAGCTACATTTATGGATTCAGGATCTGTAACCAGTTATTAAGGAAATGAGTGTTTGGTGCCGAGGTCTGACAAGCCACCGGACAGACAGGCTTTCCGACGACATGTGACATGTCCCCTGGTGCCACCACCAGAGACAGGCTCCCCAGGCAGATGGACCCAGCTGGAGACTGATCCAATTACATGCCTTTTACCTCCCCTCCCACTGTCCCCACTGTCCTGTTCTAGTCTTTGTTCTGTAGCTTGCTGGCTGGCAGGGTGCTGGCTGCAAGGCGTGGGAAACAGGCTCACATCTCTGCTACAAGGCCCTTCCGTGGACCATCCCTCTTGGCGTGGTCCACTCTCAACTCTTCTACAGAATGAAGGACATCTGAGGAGTCCAAAGTGTCACACAGGGAGATATGTTCCATCTCCTCTTGCCCGACCTGTTATACGAGCAAAGAAGCCCAAGTTATCTCTGGGGAAGGACTCTCTGGGATGCAGTTGAGGAAGGCAGAGGCAGTGAGAGAGGAAGTAGAGGGAAATATAGGGTTTGGCTAAGCTGTATGTTAGCTGTCTCAAATAATGGCATTGGCTATAAATACTTATAATAATTCAAGAGTGATTCCTTCTGAGAACCTGGCTACCTGTGCTAGAGTTGGGATACGAGGTCCCAGCCAAGGGCAACTATGGGTGACCTGCAATTGTCTGTGCTGCTCCTTGGGGGACATGGGAAGTGATGGCTGGTTGATGAGTGGTGGGCTGTGCTGCCCAGGGGGGACTTCTGCCCTGTCTGGCGCTCAGGGCCACAGTAGTCTCAGCAGACAAAGGAAAAGGTGTGCAAAGGAGGAAGCAACAAATGTTGCAAATGGGTGCTCCTATAGCTGGTGCCATGTCAGGGAACAGAGATGCAAACAGGATTCAAAAAAGAAGATTAAGTATGGAGGAAGGCTACTGCCACAATAAAAATGAACACATTTCCTGTCAGCTCGATCTTGGACCACATACCCAGAAAATGCCCTTCCTCTGGTCTCCTATATGCACCCTTTCCACACCCCCTGAACAGCATTTATTACACAGTGTTATGACTGATTTGTTTGTACTTAAGCAAATATTTATTGTGCTTCTACTATGTGCTGAATATTTACAAAGTGCTGGAGAAATGAAGATGGATAAGACGTGGTTGCCTGCCCACCAAAATCTAAGCTACAGTGGGCATTCTTCTAGGTAGGAGGGGTACTATGGGGAGGATGGAAAAAAAGGAGCAGGCAGCTATATGATGGGATAGGGAGGGATGGGAAAGGCTTAATGGAAGAGGCAATGCTTGAACTGAGTACTGAGAAATGGAAAGGATTTCACTGGATACACCAATGGAAGGATGATCCAGGCAGGAGGAGCACTGTGACTAAAGGATCAAGTTGAGAAACTACACAGGGCAGCCTGGGAAGCTGAAGGCCACCTGGTATAGGTAGGATACAGAGTGTGAAGCAGGGGGAGAGGGGGATTAGCAAGTAACTGTGTGTTATGTGAGTTGGGGGGAGTGGATACTAGGGAAAGAAGAAGTAGGGAGTGAAATAGACAATGCTGGAGAAGGATGCAGAGATCAGATCATCAGAAGCCTTGTGTGTAGCATATAATCTGCAAAAAACCCAAATCACTATGCTGAACACTTGAAACTAACACAAGATTGTAAATCAACTATATTTCAATTAAAAAGAAAAAGTAGAGACTTTACCTTCGAAGACCAATGATGGGAGAATTTTAAGCAGGAAAGTAACATGATTGGATTTAAGTTTTAGAAAGATCAGTCTTAATGCTCCTAAGAGCTTTTCATGACCTGGGAAAATGTATCTGATATGACAGTAAAAGGAAAACAGGACTTAAGTTTTATATACTCTATGATTAACTACATTATTTTAAAAATATCTAAATTTCAACACTGACTATGTCTAGATGATGATATGATGAGATATAATTTGTGTTTAAACTCTTGTCATTTTTCCAATTTTTCCTGAATGAGCATATAATTGCTTTTATTACAGAAAAGAACTATTAAAAGTTTTTTCAAAAAGGAAAAATGAAAGAAAAGCAAGATCCCTCCAGCAGTCATGTGAAGAGACGTCAGGCTGAAATCAGGGAGGAAACGGTTGCAACAGTCCAGGCAGGAGAGGATTTTTGAGCATTGACCCTTGACTGTGAGCTCCATTAAGGAAGGTTCTGTGCTGGCAGGACTGGCACATAGTAGGACTCCGAGAATTTACTGAATGAAACTCAAAGAGTTTTATATGAAACTTTTATATGAAACCTCTCGGTCAAAGCTCATCTGATAAAGCAACAGTCAGGGAGCTGATCCAGCACCACCTCCCACAACCAACCCCTTAGCTGTCCCACCCTTTTATACGAATTATAAATTACACTAATTTATACAAATTAGCATGAAATCTCTTGACAAAAAGTATTAGATCTTAGTCATTCCCAGGCAACTTGGGGGTAAGGGTAGGGAAGACATTTTATAGTAGAAAAACTGAAATCTGGATTTTCCAGGCAAATGACATTACAGGTTTGTGACTTCGGGTTAAAATTTTTTGTTGGATATCTAAGCTATTCCATTTTAACAAGCTCAGGAATCTTTTCCACAGAGGGATGCCAGAGGAACTCGGCTCCTGAAAGCATACATCTACATATTGGATACGATGGGGGGTCATTATTTCCTCCCGTCTGGACAATGAACTTCTGTTAACTCTACCTTTTACAGAGCAAGCTGATTCACCTAAAGGAGAGCAAAACACCC